ACTGCCGCCCCCCTCCCAAGCTGCCCCTTCCTTCTATCTGCGGGCCAGATAACGCAATGCCTATCGCGGCGGCGGCCGCGCGAGTGCACTGGCGGCATTCGCGTGCAGGAGAGCCAAGGGGAAACGATGGAGGCACATGAAGACCTCCCACGCACAACTGTCAACCACACACAGGCAACGACACGAAACGAGAGACCATGTGCAAGCCTACACGCGGGCTGTGTTTGTTGATGTGTAATGTCATAATGTGATTGCGCATGTGTGCGCATCCAAACAAACAAATATGACGATACAGATGTGCATACATTGTGTCATATATCAACACGTGTATGCACATGCACGCACGAATACATTTCCGCATGTTTGGATCGGCACAGCCAACCATATCTCTGGAAGGATGCTTGCCGCTAGCAAGCGCGTTGAATGACCGTCGCAGTAGCTTCCAGATTTCTAAGAAGGTGTCGTGCCCATCGTGGTGGGCCGCCTTTGCCGTGAGACTTAGTGGCCAGCTGGTCAAGTTTAAGGTGAGGCTCTTCGTGGACCCGACTGCTAGCAGCCCAGTCATGCTGAGCGTCACCAGGGAGTCTCGCGTGAGAAACTCGGCCCCGTCGCCGTGGAGCCTGAGCGGCAAACACGTGGCCCCACGATCGCCAACTTCCAATACAGGGTGTTCTCGTAAACGCAGATCGTCCCTGGGATTATTTTGTCCACGATGCCTGGGCACCGAACGAACAATGCATGGCTTGCCCAAGGGATTGTGGCGGCACTTCAACGTTTTCAACGGCCCAATGGGCGGGGAACATCAAAACGCCCTCTCCCCCACTCTTGAAACAAAAAAAAGTCACCTGCTGGCGTTGGCCCAGAACTCGCCCAGGCGGTCCACCCCAAAGATGTAGTTAAACTCTGTCTCATATCTGTGGAAGAGCGCGGAGAACCACTCATGCGGCAATAGCACGCCGCAGTCGGCCAAGGCGACCTCAGACGTCTTGGGGTCCACGCAAGGGATCTCGAGTACCATTGGCTGGGGCAACGAATTGCGGCCTAACATGGTGTTCAATTGTTGATGTATGTTGCCAGGGTAATTCCCTCGCTGACCGAGGGCCGCCAGCCTGGAAATTTCTCCATGCCGCAGGCCGTCCTTGTAGGCCGCGGCCGCTATGCGTTGGACTTCCGTTGCGGGCATCAGCCCCCATGCCCAAGACTTTAAGAGGTGGGTCCCCAAGTTGGACAACTGGATATCAGGCACCTCCTCGAACTCCGCGGCATCATCATCGCTCGCCGCGGGCGGGGCCTCCAAACGCCTCTTTCGTTTTGGGGGCATACCCGCAACGGGGCCTAGAAAACCTCGAGCCCCGACGACTGCCCCAAGACGGAATGATAATCGAGCTGGCAATCTCGGGCACGCGTTATTACCATGAATGAGCGGCGAGTTGGATGGCATCCGAGATGAGGGGAGGTGAGACAGCTTGGAAGAGATGAGGGAGGCTCGCCAGCGTCACCTACCGCGGCTCCACGGGGCTAGATGCCCGCAGCCCGAGGCGCACTTGCGCAACTGCAACGCGCAGAGTCTGCCACCCACTCAAGACGCGATACTACTTCCCACTACCATATCCCGCACCGTACTATTTCAACGACTGGTCCAATAGAACATTCCCCCCCTTCTTCCTCCAACCAACCTGCTGCCCCTCGCCGACTGCCACATGCATTAAGACAGGTACGTTGGCACATCTTCGAGCCATCGCCTTACCTTGGGAAGTGGCCCTGCCACCGATTTAAGGATCATGGTCGGTCGTGTCAGGGGCACCTGCTGGGAGAGGGTTCTTCGTGCTAGAAGTGGGGTGGTGGAGACGCGCTGGTCTCTGCACGGGCAGCCTAGCGAGCTACTGCACGATGGCCAGGTTGCTGGTCGACTCCAGGATCTGCTTCGCCTTGGCGATCATCGCCCTCGCCTTGGGGACGTCGACCATGTCCTCGACCAGGAGCTTGGAGGCCGCGCCGTTCAGTGACGTGATGGCATCCAACGCCTCTGGGAGGTACCCGCGCGACACGGACGGGGATGCATCAGCAAACCGAGAGCAATTCACATCTGTCCAAGCACACCTCCACTTGCTCAATCTCACCAGCAAGCCCAGCCTCAAACTCACAATCATAGCACGATGAGAACACACATATCAAATGCTCAAGCCGATCGAACACATCATAATCAAAACACCGATAATTGTGGGTCGGCGCACTACCCTATTTGGCTATGACGTGTACACATATGTATGTAAACACCTCTTCTCACCCTTCTCCCACTCATCCATCTTCTACTATTCTCCATCTCCTCCATTGCCCATCTCTGCCATCTTCTGATTCGACTCCTCTCACCCATCCGCCACTCCTCCTCCGCCATCCGTTCGCCAAGCACCTCCCATCACCCGCTCCACCCAGCCTTCCTACTCCACTCTATGATCGCGCCCAATGCGCCTGCTTCGCATGCTTGATGTTCGCCTCGCTCGCCGTCTCCTTTGAAGCCCTGATCACCGCGACCAAGCCCTCGGCGCCGTCCTCGGGGGAGGGCGGCAAGGGTGACAGGGGAGACTGGGAGAGGGACCCCCCCTCGGCTGGGAGGAGGATGGGGCGTGGATCGCGATGATGCCGATGCGATCAGCCTGCAGAGATACTGAGCATGCCTCGGGGAGTGGTGTTGTCTCTGTTAGGATTTCTCTGTATGGTTTGGTGCTGCTCAGGTCGCGCATGTGCCCCATTGCATGGTTGACGGTCTATACATTTGCTATAGTACCGAACTTGTGATACCCTGCCTTACGGGCGACACTGCCATGCTGTGCTAACCATTGTGGTTTATGCGATGCAACGCATGTCGGTTAATTTATGGCTGCCCGCATGTATGCACACGTTCGCGACGTGTAGCAATCATACGTGCCAGGTACTGATACATACACATATACATATGTATACTGACACGTGAATGCTCATGTGACCATGTGAACGCATGATTGTACACAAACAGACACATATATATATGTATAATGCTTTTGACCCGCATGACCTTTCACGATCTGAGATCACGATGTTTATCTATATCTGTTGTCTCGCACATACCAGGGGGAGTGGATTCAAAATGTGGTATCCTTGCTGGCATGCTGGATCGTCTGGACCTCCTCGAGCGCCTTCTGCGCGGACTTCACGTTCTCGGGCTTCATGCTGAGGACGGTCTCCCCCGCGGCCTGGATCTTCTTCAACTCCTTCTTGATGGCACCGCTGCCCTAGGCAACATTGCCGCGATCGGGTTAATCGGGGGAGGTCCTGGCCAGGGTTGAAAGGGTTCATTATGATACAGGTGTTAAGGCGACGAGGATACCAAGTAAGCAGACGGGCCAGGAGGATGACGGAACATTTGGAGGAACGTGTATAAAAAGGGTGAGGGGTGTTCAGGTCTCGTGTCGGATCAGCTTCTAAATCAGAATTGGTCGGGTTCTTGATTCGGCTGTGCTGTTCTGGACTAACCCAAATCGGGTTTACCATCCTTACCGAACCGAGCACGACGACGACGACGACGACGGCCGATCGTTGGTCCCCATGGCGTTTCGGCGCCGATTGCATCTGAACCAAACAAGCTTGGCGTGTCGACACCGACCGCATCTGAACCGAACAAACTTGACGTGTCGGCGCCGAATGCATCTGAACCGAATAATAATGACGTTCGGCGCCGATCGCATCTGAACCGAACAAGTTTGACGTCTCGGCGCAGATTGCATCTGAAACGAACAAGCTTGACATTTCGGCGCCGATCGCATCTGAACCGAACAAACGTGACGTGTCGGTGCCGATTGCATCTGAACCGAACAAGCTCGACGTTGCGGCGCCGATCTCATCTGAACCGAACAAGTTTGACGTCTCGGCGCCGATCACATCTGAGAGGGCAGCCCGACCACGACCAGCTCCGCGCCCCCCAGCTCCACGACCAGTTCCGCGGCCCGTCGGCGGCAGATCTTCACTCACGGTTGGGAGGTCGAGCCCCACGTGCGTCATGCTGCCTGCAAACGAGCGTTTTACCAACTCCCTGCGCTTGCCGCCCCTCTAACCCATCAGTTTCTCACAGTCGTGCCAACCCCATGCATGAATTCCATGTGCCTACATCCCGCCGCCATTACATCATCTCATCCTGCTCATCCTGCTCGTCACCCCATAATCATCATCGTGCTCATCATCTCAACATCCTCAGCATCCTGATCATCATCACCCCCCCCCCCCCCCCAGTCTCCTGAACCCCATCATCGTATTCCCCTTTTTTGTCATCATCATCATCATCCTCGAATTTCCCATGTCCCGAACGCCGTGAGTCGCCAAGTCGTCGGACATGTTGAGGCCCCCCATGGCCCTCCCCATCTCGCCGAACTCGGCGGCGGAGACCGCTCTCGAGCCCTGGAACCCCTGAGTCTTGGTGCGGGAAAACGAGTTAGTTTTCTTGTTCTTCACAATCTTGAACTGCTTGCGCCTCGGGTTCTGCGGGTTCGGGCGAACCTGGCTGTGGCGTGTGACATGTATTGTTTGGGCATCGTGGCAGTTTTAAATGGTACTCCAGATTTCGCAATAAAGAGAGGGTGGTCTCATTTCGGGGGGTCTCTTCCAGGCTATCTTGGAGGATCTGGGGGGTCGTGGGACGATGTTTTGGAGGGTTCCCCCACGGGGGAGGTCTGAAATGGTTTGTCTTGGAGGGTCCAGACCCCCTCCCTTTTATTTCGAAATCTGGGGTAGCCCTCTTGCCTCGTCTCCAATGGTTCACCCCCCCCGTCCTCGTCCTCACCGTTATCCCTTCTCCTCCCAATCATCCCCCTCTTCGCCCACGCCATCTATCTAATACTTATGTGTTATCACGTCCGCCAATCAGTTGGAGACAAGGTGAGGGGGCGGCACCGCGGCCCACATGGGCCTGGATTTTCGCACGCCTCATTAGTCGAGGGGGGCAGCGCAGTCAAACTTTACAACGGCCGAACAATGATCTTCTGCTCATTGATCATCTCCTCGGCCTCGCTCTCGGAGTATACGTCCAGCAATTGCTTGCGGCTCACCCACTCCTCCTCGCAATCCACCTTCTCAGAATACTGGAGCTGCTGGCACATCGTCATGAACGTGTCCCCCAAGTTGGGGTCCTTGAGGAAGGCCGCGAGCATTTTCGCCTTCGAGACTTTCTTGCCCTCGTCGCCCTCCGACTCGCCGTGGTCAACCTGCTCGGGGGAGGGGGTGGTATCGTGCGGTACGACTTCGGGGTATAGAGGGTGGTCACGTCGCTACCAGACGGGGCCCCCGACGTCGAGTAGTTCGATCACAACCCCCCCCAATCTATCCCGACACATCACAAACCAGGGGGCGTTTCTGCATGACCTAGCGAAATGGCGAACTATCGTTGGTAATTAATATACCTGCCACCCCTGCCCGACCCCCCGAACAAGTCAGAACGGATCCGTAATGATATCAAGCTCCATACGTATAACTTCCCCATTTTCAAACAGGAACCGACGCGAAGGTTGCTTCGGCATCGGCGTTCTTCTTGCGCGCCGTCTTGAAGCGGCCGTACAATTTCCTGGATTGGTGCAGGCGCGGGATTACATGGTGGCGGGAGGATGAGAGGGGGGTGTAGGGTGAGGGGGGGTTGGGTATGAATGGGAGGTATGATGAAGGATATGGTCATGATGGGTAGACGAGGATGGGGGATCAGAAAGCGGATGAGGGTCGTGATGGGCGGGTATGATAGGCATTTCAAAAGAAAATTCGGTCTTGATCTCGGCAGGAACGAATATGCAGCGCATGTGGGCCAAGTTATTCATGTCGGCGTGGTCGTGGAAGAGCTTCACCTTCTCATCGGTATCTTTGCACTTGAGCGCGGCAGCCTGCAGCTTCTCCGAGCTCCACCTGCGGGACGACAACGATGGATGAATGACATGTGTTACACCCCCCATGCGATTGCAATCACATAGGGGGTGTACCCCCTATTTGATTGCAAGCAAATAGGGGGTCATATCCCGTCACCTCGGCTGATCCTATGTGACCAGCCGAGGTGACGGGCTGTGACGCTAGGCGTGCGACCGAATCCTAAACGCATTCTCTCCCGCCCACGTCTCCCTGTCAGAAGACTTCGAGGCCTTTGACTTTGACTTTGCCTTCGCCTTGCCCTTGCCCTTGCCCTGGGCACGGGCCAGAAACTTCGGCGCAGCCGTCGGAGTTCTCTTCCCTTTCGTTTTCATGACGGCTTTCATGACTTTCGGCGCCATCGCACAGCTCGAAAATACCGCGCAACAAACGAAATCTGGCCCGAACTCGCCTCGAACACTCGAGCCAATAACCCATTACGGCGTCAAATTATCAACTTGGTAAACACAGTCTGTATCATACATTACTGTGATTACATTAGACATCATGCTATGGTGAGAACTTGGTGATATGACGTCTGTCTGACGTCAGTCTGACGTCAGTCTGACGTCGGACGCAACCGTCTGACGTCAGACGATTTTGTCTGACGTCAGACGATTTTGTCTGACGTCAGACGGTCGGCGTCTGACGTCAGACGGTCTGCGTCTGACGTCAGACTGACGTCAGACTGACGTCAGACTGGCGTCATACCATTGACGGTTCCGAATACACTGTACATGTGAAATAATACCAGGTCATAGTGCGTGGTTCAACTTGATTTCTGAAATTGCACCTGCCCAACCGACACCAATTCGGGCGCGCGCGTGGACACGTGAACCTGAAATACAGATGATTTGGGTACCCAGACATGTCCAAACAACACTTACTTGGCCAGATCGGCTGGGGTATCCCGTCAGAACGTGGGCTAAAGTCGGCTCTAAATGTGCACCGATTGTGCAATATCATCTCAATCCCGAGATGATGAGTTTCCATATATATACATATATACATATAGATAGCACAATCACTCAACCAATCCTTAACCCTCGCATATTACTCCTGCATCCACTCCTGGGGGGGTGCCCCTCTCCGAGAGAATGTATAACGCCAAAGCGCCTGCCTCGGCATCGGACCTCCATTCCAAAGGTAGAGGCGCCGAACACTGAATACGGAATGCAAGGATGAGATGGAAGAGCGGTTTAATGATGAGGGGGAGGGGGCGAGGGATGGGGGAGGATGATTATCCACAATTGTGGATCGCAACGTACATATGATCACCACCTGCACTCGATCAGGGTAGACCTGCATACCCCCTCGGCAAGCCTATTCCGAAACAAACATATTCCAACCACGTCGTGGATTGGGGCATGATAATAAACATCGGGGGAACATTGCCTATTTTGGACGTCGCCCAATAAGCAGGTTAATCACAATACGAGATCGTGCACTGCCAAGGAGTAGCACCCCAACCTACTCCAACAGACGGATGCGACCACGAGCAAGTTCAAACTCTCGGCATCGCGGTGCGAGCGCCACTGGCCCGTCTGATGATCGCAATCCGTCGTCGGCAACCCATCCTGGAATCCAGACTGCCCCCTCATGGCCCCCATCGCCACCCTTTCTCCTGAAACCCCCCCTCAATCCAACCCCCGCCTCAATATCCTCCCCCTCCTAACCATGTAACACTCGCTACTTGCCAAGCAGCGAATCACGGTATGCTACAGCTTGCGCCTTATTGCAACCCTTCTTGCACACGTATGCAAGGACCTTTGCACAGAGCTGGCCGTGATTTTCAGACATGCTGGCTCCAATCTGTACTAGGAGCCGTGGTTTGCGCTGATCATCTCTAAAGCAAATGTAAGATGCATTCGTGGCGTATGTCGCCGAGAGCTTCCCCATGGTGGGGTGATCGAGGGAGCGCGGGAACTCGTCTCGGTGGACGATGGGCGCCGCCGCCCTCGCAGCGGACCTCCCCTTGGCGACAACCACGTTGTCCTTCTTGGCGCCCTCGATGCCAGCCTGCGAAGACGGGGCCGATTATCGAGGCGGGGAGAGAGGGCAAGATGCGGAGAGGGACAGTCGTGGGATCGCTGTTAGGGAATCATGGTGAGGACGTGGCGTCTCTGTCTCCAGCTCCCAATCATCCTCATCGTCGTCGTCCAGCTCCTCATCCTCCTTACTCCACTTCGCATAAATTGTCATCGCCGCCGCCCTCATCGTCATCCTCCTCATCCCCGTCCTCCTCACCGCCATTCCCCTCATCCTCGTACCCCTCATCATCATCCTTCTCCGTCCTTCGTCATCATCGCCATCGTCATCCCTCTCCTCCCCCTCCCCCTCCTCCTCCTCCTCCTCCTTACCCCCCAAACCCTCCTCATTGTCAGCCTTCTCCTCCTCCTCCTCATTATCATCATCATCAACCACTCCCTTCAACTTCTTGACATCCATAGCTGCCGAGGCCCATGCGTGCCTATGTAATCTTACCCAGTACTACTCCTGGCATCACCCCATTCGATGTCGCCCCCAACGCCTTCAAGCGGCGTTTGTTGGCATCCACAGCCTTGGCGCCCTTGGCGAACGCCAAGATCTTCTCGTCATCGGACTCATCGTCGAAGAGGCTGGCCTTGGCCTTCCCCGCGCCCATCCACTGGGCGAGCTCCTGGCGGCGGGCGGGGAACATGCGTATATATAATGAGAACACGGGGAAGGGAACTCATGTGGAACTGGCCATGGCGAAGGACTTGGAGTGGGGGGAGTGGGAAGGGGAGCGCATCGCAAATCGGATCGTGGCTTGGATGTGGCAAGGTGATGATGATGGCTATGTCGTTGATGATTATGCTGCGGATGGTGATGATGATGAGGAGGAGGATGGTAATGATGATGCTGATTCTGATGATGATGATGATGATGATGATGATGGTGATGGTGATGGTGATGAGGCTGATGATGATGATGACGGTGGCGGTGTGCCACGATATTGATGTGGTACTTTGGTGATGGTGTCGGTGGTGGTGGCGGTGATGGCGATGCTGGCGGTAGCTCAGAGTGCCACGATGGTACCGATTGCACTATGTTTACCAGTGGGGACGGCGACGACCTCGGCGACGACGACGATGCTGACGGTGGCGATGATGATTGTGACGACACTGCGTGTCGATGATGGCCACGATGTTGCCAACTCCAAATACGATGATGACGATTGCCTCGTGTTCTTGGCTACCCCAAACAGCCGCGGAATGCGTGCTGAATAGTTATGCAACTGTACCATCGCAATAACGCAAGCTTCGGCCACGTGGGCCTCGATAGTAGTCAACCGAAATGGTGCCCAATCACCAGCGTGAACCCCGCGTATCTAATCGCAACACGCATGCGAACGCTCAGTCCTCCTGCGTCGAGCCGCTGTCCTTCATCCAGGCAGCGAGTTCCAGCAACGAGTCGTCGTCAATGTGCTCGTCATCGGCGTCCTGTAGGCTCCCAAAGCTCGCCATGCGCAGCGTCGCGGCGTCCGACGCGAAGGACTCCGTGGACATCGCGCGGCGGAGCGCGGTGTCTCGCACGACGGGCGTGGAGATGTCGCCGAGCTCGGGGAAGAGCACGCGTGGCCCGACGTCCACTGGGGGCATCGGCACCTCCTCTGTCGGCTCGGGCTGCTGGGACGAAACCTGCATAAATGAGGTATTTCGGATCTCGCCTTAACTTGGGCGGGGCCGCGGTGTAATGAAGAGCATCGGACGAATCAAGGGGCGAGGGCTGCATCTTCCTACCCGCCCCTCCCATCACCCCCTGCTAACTTGCCGCCCAAAATCCCACATCCCCCCCCCCCAGAGCTCTTCATGGCCCTTCGGACCCGCCCGAGTCAGGGCGATCTCCGAAACACAAAACGGCAACCTTCGGCTGGTCCACCGTCTGCGCGTCGTACTCGGCCTCTGGCGTCGGCGTGTAGATCGGACTGCACTGCTCAGCGGCCGTCTTCGCCATGATCCTTGCCCGCTTCGACGGAGGCGATTGGCTCTCAGAAGGGCTTGGAGACGCACGGCTCTTGGTCCTCGCCTTGATGGCGAGCGGGGTGAAGGAGCCTGGGCCGCCAGCCTCGGCCTCGGACGGGTGCCCCGACGAGTTGATGGACTCAACCTCGGCGCTGGCCTCCGCCTTGGGCTCGGACGTGCCACCTGAAGCCTCAGCTGCTGCACGCCGCTGCCATTCTCCATCATCGGGCTGCGCCTGGGCCAAGAGAGTCGCAACGTCATTTGCAATCTGACTCTCAACCTCTGCACGCCTAGCCTCCTGCATTGCTGCCTTGACCGCCTCCTCGCTGGAATCG